GATTCCTTTTGATATCAAAATGCACCTGTCAAGAGACAAGCTTACAACGCCCACTTTAAACTCAAGGCTATTATAAAGTTAAACTGCGAGCTGTGTGGGAGCAGTGGATGAGAGAAGACGAACACACATTCAACGAGACAGGGAGACAGCGCCGAGCGATCTGCCAATGGATCGTGGACGCCTGGGCTAAGGATCAGTATCAACTGTGGTCTGAGCTTTCACCAAGACCAGAATCATCACTGAACTGCCAGGTAACAGTAACCACACTGACTCTGATAATGACGAGAGGGATGTGGGCGTGCTGGACGCTGTAATCACCCAACTGTTTGAACAATTATGAGTTATTATGAATACGCTAACAATTTAGCGTCTCAGACAATATTTTTTTACGCGTTACAATTGAACAAAGTTGAGAGTTATTGTGAATGCGTTAAATAAAGTTTGACTGACTTATCTAACTGTTGTGTTTCGTTTAATGTGCCTTAAAGTCCGGTGCAGTTTATACGTGAAAAAAGTTTGAAAATAGACCATTCAATGACAGTGCGCCTTATAGTGCAGAAAATACGGTAACATGTTGGTGTGATAGCATTTTCAAAATGATCAAAGGTAACATGGTGATCTAAATAATTATGTGTTAGCCTAAATTACTTCTACCCCACAGAAGTCAAATACTCTCTGATTAAAGTGCATATGACAGCTTTTCATGTTTTCTAATCATGCGGAAATGCACCTTCATCCTATTCATTTATATAAGAGGAGGGCACATGTGAGACTTCCTGCCCCATGTCCCGAAATTTCTGTGAAAGAGTCTGATCCTAGTTTTACATCAGTTAAGTGTCAGTTTGTGCAGAAAAACATGAAAACCTGTCATGTGTGCCAAAACTAACGGATGTTTCAAAGCACTGGGGCAGTTGCTGTTTAACTGTTGACATAATTTCCGGTTTTGTAATGAAAATAACCAAACAGCAAAGAGTTCACAAGAAGCAACCGCATTTTTAGGGAAGTTTATGTTGAAGCGTAAATCAGAAGCTACAAAGGAAGTTATGCAAGACTCAATGAGAGACATAGAGACAATGGAGCCACAGCAGCATTGAAATCAAGGGAGTGGCAAAACAACATATGAGACCGGTCAGTCTTATTTATAACACGGTCTGTGAGAATTCAAATCCTAACTGCCACGTGTTATTTCTGTATAATCATATAGGTAACAGTTAAAGGGCCCATATTACGCTATTTTCTGATCTATGTTTTAAGGTTGTTTTCTCATCATAAACAGACCTGAAGTTGTGTTTTGTATCATTCACACATGTTTAACACACAAACCCTGCATAATTAGTCTGTGTGAATGGAACAAAACAGAACGGGTATGTTTATATTATATCATAGCTTCAACTAAAACAGAAATAACTAATACTTTGAACATAGACAGCTAAACGGTTGTCAGATTTAAAAGTGAACTTTTCTCAGTTGGTGGGACCATGGTATAAGCGGATTAAACACTCACTTACTTAAGTCTTTCTAAAGTAACTGTATTTAACTGTGTCCCCAAATATGAGGTAAACATGCTCAAATCAAATATAGCTTTTCTTTTAATGCTGATTTATTCTTAATTACAAAAACACTGGACCTGATGTTTGATGTTTATTTATAATTTGGTGTTTTGGTTCAAGACAGTTATCCAATCAGAATCAGTTTCAGTGGTGAAATCCAGTGTGCTTAAGCCTAAAATGTCTCTCTCTGATCTGAATGGTCTCTACCTAAAGCCCAGTGTCTGCGGCCAATCATGAGTCAGTGCTAGTGCAGCCTCTGCAGCTCAAGGAGGGAATTCTGGAGGTTCTGAGCTTTCACATGAGGCCTGGTCGGTCCATATACTTGGAATGAGACAAACTTGGATGTGTCCTCTATCTGCAGGTAAAGCCCATAGACTGTATATATAAATGGACATATCTAACCTGCTAGCCACGGCTTTCCAAACAGGACGTGAGCATGGGCGCGCTTCTGGCTCCACTGACTCCAATTCACTACCTACTGAAAAAAATGTTGCCACTCTCACCATAACTTCTGCATTCAGGCTCCTCATTTTAGGCTACGTTTATATGATGACGGTCTTAACAGAAGACGCAAAAGTGGCGTTGCGTCTTCACTTTTTATTCTGCATTTAGATGAGCATTTTCGGGAGGAAATCTGACTGAAGCAGTGACGCAAAAGTGTGTGGAATTCAATTGGATATGCATGCCATCTGACATGTTTGTTTCTGTGTATTGTATGTACAAGATGTAAACAGGTACGCAAAGTGAGCAGATCTGACCAGAGTTTTGCGTCTTGGGCAATGTAGATGGAAACGCGTATTCAACTTTTCCACTCTGGAGGGTGGTTTCAGATTTTTGCATTTCTAAGCCCCAAAAACATCGTCACTGTCTAAACGAAAGGCACTTCCGATAAAATATTTTGCAGTTTCTACCTGCAAGTGTTTTTCGTTTAGACAGTGACAATGTTTTTGCATTTCTAAGCCCCAAAAACATCGTCACTGTCTAAACAAAAGGCACTTCCGATAAAATATTTTGCAGTTTCTACCTGCAAGTGTTCTTGTGTTGGTCTTAAAATGTTTGCATCAATGTTTGCATCAACCCTCATGATCCTGGTGTTTTTATTTCACTATATCGTCCGTAAATCAATTCCTATTCCTCACATGGAACTCGGCTCTAAATTTGTTGTGACTGTAGAACGTTTGTAAAACTTAAAGAGACAGACTACATACAGTTCCTTTAAAGCTGCACTATACCTAACTTTGTAATGAAACCATCTCTGAAAACAGCTATTTCATAAAGTACTTTCTAGCATAAAATTGAAGAATTAATGACTTTTTGCCACTTCCAAATTAAGTAACCAAGTCCCCACGTCTTCATAAAATCAGCAGCAGGTTTTTCATTTTCAATTAGACAGTCTGAAATCCACAGAGGGAGCCATTTTTACGCGCACGCTTTGATCCATATTTTTAGTTCATTTATTCGATTCCTCTACTCTTGTTTTGACTATCCCCGTCCTCCATCTTGGCTCTGGTCCCTCTGAGCTATAATTAATTTCAGTGCGAGTGAAAAATCAATTAATAAGAGAAGAAGTAACAGTGATAGCCGCATATATAAATAATATGAATGTGGAATGTGTTTGAGGAGGAGTGGGAGATACAGAGAGAAGGCTAAAGGAGATTTTGTATGTGTTTTGTCTCTTTGCTCAAATAAAAAAAGAAATAAAAATAACTTAGAGATTAGAGGAGATGTTATTGATCAAATTAATATCTGAATAAATGAATATCTCAGTACATTTCTGAGTATTCTCAATGAGTCAGATGTTTTATTTCCACACTTTAATCATCTTTTGGCTTAACTTTAATTGATGTCTGTCAATATATAAAGACAAGCAAGTAAATTAATGAAAAAACTACACTGAAATACACAATCGCAACAGCCAATTTTCTCTATTGATTGTATTGTACTTTGTTATGTAATATCCAAAAGGTAAATTCACAAATGTTGAACCTGATCATTTCCATTACTAACTAGACTCAAGTTGCTATATTTCCACATAAGTCAACAATTTAACAATGTTCATCAATAAAGTACTTAAAAATATAACTTATAATAAATAACTTAATAAATAACTATAGAATTAGTTTTATTACCGTATTTTCTGCAATATTGTCTATTTTCAAACTTTTTTCACAAATAAATCGCACCGGACTTTACACGAAACACAACAGTTGGATGGGTCAGTGGGACTTTGTTTGGCGCATTCACGGTGACTCTGGGCTTTGTTCAGTTGTGGTGTGTAGGGAGGGTGCTGTCTGGGACCGCTGGATTGTTGTTGTTGTGTCTAGAAGTGGCATGTAGCACTCACTTTTTCGGTTCGATCCTCCACTCCGTTCCTCGTCGGCGTGGAGTGGTGAGTGTGGCTGTGGGTGTTTTTCACTGTGCGGTCGCTGTCTGCTCCGTGCGTGTTTGTGTGCGCTGCAGGTGGTGCGGTTTTGTAGTTTACTGAAGTCGTGCTGGGACACCCTAGTGGATTCATGTATAGGGCGCTCTGGTATAGTCGTTTTTTTAATGGGGTTGGAGGCTTAAGAGCGCGCCCTATAGTACGGAAAATACGGTAGATAAACAATTAAAAACTATGTTTCACCAAGACATTCCTTCAATTCATTCCTGTTAAAATCTAACCTTGCCCAACAAGATAAATCCATCTTGGAGAGCACCACTGAACATGTTTGTGTGGAAGCCAAAAGAGAAGTGCCCAAACAAACTAAAACAAACATGGCGAAGCCGACAGACGGATTTCAGCCGACTTTAGTATCAATAATACAGGACTATTTGGTTTGTGAATACATGCAGAAGGTAAGAGCTTTGTGCATTTGTGGACAGGAAAGATGTCTGTTTTTCTCTCAGCTGCATTTAACTACAGTTAGATTTTTCAGTTTGTTCCAGTTGTGATGCTTTCAGAGATATTCCAGATTTCTACAATATCCATGTGTGCGAGCCAGGTCAGAAAAAATCCTCAGTATGCAATAATCAGGTTACAGACAAGTGCATGTATGTCTATGTTTGTATGAATGTCAGTGATGATCAGAAATTCTCTCTTAAGCTCTTTCTCTCTCTTTTATGAGGTTTGTGAAAGAGAGCATGATCTAAATAAAGTCTAAACTGCAGCTATAGGTTCAAATTTCAGGTTGAAATCTTCTTTGTAGTTTTCCGTGTATTTCCATGTATGTATCACCTCGTTGCCATACACCATGAGGTGGTGGGAGGTGATCAAAGCCTTAAACACTGGCCCTCGCCCTCTCTTTGTATAAATGTGGTTTGTGAGCGAGTGATCTTGTTATAGTTTTCCCATGTGTTTTGTCCTCACCTCGTTCCTGTATATCATGAGGCCTTGAACACTAGCCCTCTCTATTTTTGTGGTTTGTGAGTGAGTGATTTTATTGTCGTATTTCTCCTGTATTTTGTCCTCACCTCATTGCCGTACATCATGAGGTGGTGGGTGGTGATCAGAGCCTTGAACACCACGACCCAGCTGGAGTTGGCCGTTCTCTCAAACAGAGTGTCTGCGAGCTGAGGGACGCTCACATTCATCTCATTGGTGCAGTGGATCAGGTCTGCAATGGAAACACAAATACGGAAACTTTATTCCACAAGGTTCTGAAGACAAGAGAGAAAGTGCGATTTATGGTTTTAAAAGTGCACTATGTAACTTTTCAGTTGGTCATCCATCACCTGCTTGTTTCTATATTTCATTGTTCTGTCTGGAAGGTTCCACAGTATGACTTTAAACAGGGTAGGTTGGGGATCATTAACAAGCTGCCAATACGATACATATCTCGATACATAGGCCATGGTACGATACGCATCTCGATACAGTGAGCTTTTAGTTCGATACGATATATTTCAAATCAATTCGATACGGCTTAATAAAAAATATCATGGCTGTGATACTAAAAGTCTTTGTTAAAACACTTCTTGTGTCAACTGAATCTGAAACACATACATTTTAATCATCAAAACATGAAGTGCACTTTCAATTCGATACCATATATTTCAAATCAATTTGATACGGTTCAATACAAGTAATGGCTAAATCATGGCTGTGATAGTAAAAGTCTTTATTAAACCACTTCTTTCACTAAGTTCATATGAAACACAACAATTTTAATCATCAAAATGGTGAAAACTGTCAAATGTGTTCCATAAATGAGTTTTCTTCCAATAAACACGCAACAAAACTGTAGTGCTGTAACATAATAATTGAGTAAAATATCCCCAAAAATACTCTTGGCGATATATCGATTTAAAATGCACATATATCGATACTGTATCATTACATTAAATGATACGATAGATCGATATTTCAGTATGTTTGCACACCCCTACTGTGAGCGGGGTTGAATCTCCACAGATCTGATCTATAACTTGATCTGGCTTTGGTTTCAACTGAGATAGAAAGCTTTAATGCCATACTGTGAAATATTCCAAAGAAATAACAACATCAGTGGAGAAAAGCGTTCGACAGATCCTCCACCAAAAAAGTTATGGAATGCACTAGGGGTGTGCAAACATATCGAAATATCGATATATTGCATCGCCTAATGTGATGATATAGTATCGATATCATGGGCTGCTTTACCGATATATCGTCAAGAGTACACAACAAAAAGTGGAGTGTTAAATTTGACTCTCACAGAATCAACTTTAACATTTTCTCAGAGTTTATATGAGTCCAACCTGTTCTAGAGTTAATTTAACATTTTTGTAAATGTTAATTAAGTAACACTGGACCAAAGTTTCTGTTTAACCCCGAAATCAAGAGTTATAATATTAACGTTTTGAGAGTAAACAGATAACACTTTGTAGAGTTATTCTGATTTTGCTAAACAACACAGAGAGTTGTTTTATTTTATTTTTACTTTATTTGAGTTAATTTAAGATGAAATTATGTACAAAACTGGTTCAAACTGGTTTTCTCTCACAAGAGTTTGAAGTGGTGAATGGGAGGAGTCAAATTAACACTAGAGGAAGTTGAATTAACCTCAACCACATCAACTCTGGCAAATAACCCCAACTCAAACCCCCATTTAACTTTCAAATAGTTAAAATAACACTTTTGGTGTTAAAAACAACTCTGAAATATTTTACCCTAAAATTTTAACCCTCCAGTTTTTGCTGTGTATTTTTTGGTATATTTTACTCAATTATTTTGTTACAGTGCTACAGTTTTGTCGCTTGTTTAGAGGAAGGAAACTCATTTATACAAAATATTTGACATTTTCACAGTTTTGATGATTAAAATGTTTGTGTTTCATATGAACTTGGCGCAAGTAGTGGTTTAACAAAGACTTTTAGTATCACAGCCATGATTTAGCCATTATTTTTACTGAACCGTATCAAATCGATCTGAAATATATGGTATTGAATTGAAAATGCACTGTATCGAGCTATCGTATCGATAACTTCTTAATGATACCCAGCCCTACAGTGCACCTTTAACCATAAACCAGGTAAAAAAAATCTGTAATCTGACAGTTAAACAGCAAATTCCACCAAATAGTTCAGCTCAGTTCAAACTATAGGGAGTAAATTAAAATTATTGTATGTCTCCAACCAAAAATGCTCTGACTTAAAATTAATAACGCCGAATATTTCTTATCTGTATGTAACGAATGTGTCTTGTCTGTTTTTATGCATGTACTTCATATTTTTTTCTACGGACACGTGCACTTGTGCTAAAACACCCAAAGTAACGCGCCTGGCTTGTCTAATGCGATTGTGATGTGCTTAATAAACATAAATAAATCAAATCTATAGGGTCGTTTAGTCGTCCCTGATGCTTTAGAATGAAGTGTTTGTCTCCACAGCCTTGACTGAAGAATACACCACAAACAATAAAGATACAGGACTCTTTAACGCAACAGAGGAAGCACAAGGACAGAAGCCACATTTATATAAAACGAGTTTGAATAAAAGGACCAAGGACGAAAGGAGGAAAGTTTACAAACCCCCACTCCTCCGCTCTTACACTCACTCTCTCCTCCTCCTTCTCCTCTCTTTATTTCAGTTTACTTTACCAGGCAAAATATTAAGAACAAATTTCGATTAACAATGCTGGCCTATCTCCTCCGTTTCTTCTCCTTCTCTGTCATCTCACTTTGTTTCCCTTCCTCTTCTCCTCCTCTATCAACATCCTCGTTCTATACCCTTTTCCCCATTCCCTCTCCTCCCTCCTCCTCCTTTCTCTCCTTCTCTATCCCTCCTCTTCTTTTCCCTCCTTCTCACTCTTTTCCCTCATCTCTCACTACCCCGTCTCCCTTCTCTTCTCTCTTCATACTCTCATCTTCCTCCTCTTACCTATACCCTCTCCAACCTGTCTCTCTCCCTCCTCATCTCTTTCCATTCTCATCCTCTCCTCCTCTACCTCTCTCCCCCTGTCTCACCTCTTTCCTCCTCTCTCTCTCTCCCCCTCTCCTCCCCTTTTTCTTCCTGTATTCTTCCTCTCTCCCTCTCTCTCTCCCTTTCTCTCCCTCTCGTCTTCCTCTCTCCTCCCCTATTTCTCTCTGTATTCCTTCTCCTCTCCACTATATCTTCCTACCTCTTTACTCTCTTCTCTCCTCTGTGCCTCTTTCGCCCCTCACTTTCACCCTCTCCCCCATCTCCCCTCTTTCTCCTCTCCCCTCTCTCTGTCTTTCTTTCTCTTTTCTCTCCCTCTCGTCTTCCTCTCTCCTCCCCTATTTCTACCTGTATTCCTCCTCTCTCCCCTTCTCACCTCTCTTTCTTTCTCTTCCTCTCCCTCTCGTCTTCCTCTCTCCTCTCTTTCTTTCTTCTCTTCCTCTCCCTCTCATCTTCCTCTCTCCTCTCTTTCTCTTCCACTTCCTCTCGTTTTCCTCTCTCCTCCCCTATTTCTCTCTGTATTCCTCCTCTCTCCCCCTCTCCCCTCTCTTTCTTTCTCTTCCTCTCCCTCTAGTCTTTGTCTCTCCTCCCCTATTTCTCCCTGTATTCCTCCTTTCACTCCCTCTAATCTTCCTCTCTCCTCCCCTATTTCTACCTGTATTCCTCCTCTCTCCCCTTCTCACCTCTCTTTCTTTCTCTTCCTCTCCCTCTCGTCTTCCTCTCTCCTCTCTCTCTCTTTCTCTTCCTCTCCCTCTCGTCTTCGTCTCTCCTCCCCTTTTTCTCCCCATATTCCTCCTCTCTTCTCTCTCCCTCTGTCTTTCTTTCTCCCTTGGGCCAAAGTTCGTCTAAGTTCAGATGTCGTTCATTTGGTGGAGTAATACAAACTTGAACTTTTTTCACTGCTGCAGACTCTGGACTCCCAGAGGAGCTCACGCTGCTCAGAGCCACCAACACTGATTTAACTGAAATGTTTTAAATTCTTGACACATTTTTACAACTCTTTCTCCAAGTACTTTAAGTTGGCAGTGGCAGAGTTAACAGAGCCGTTCGTCGAGTAATTAATATCCAAAACAAACACAGCTCCAGGTATGTTTTTGACAAGAAAACTACATTCGAATCACAGGCTCCTGGAAATGTGTTGATCCATTTTGTATTTTTTCTTGAGTTTTCAGATCTTAAAATTGATCAGGCTGCGTTTGCAAATCTGTGCATTGTGTCGCCATAGTAACTGCTGAACATTGCACCGTAGACATATTAATCAAAAGGGCAATTCAGTTCGCAGATCTCTGAGGAGAATAAACCATAAATAAAACCATGTATACAGCAGACATTCCAACCTCAGTGCAACAGGGGACACATTAGCAAATTCACTTTCCATTTAAAAGTTTTATGGCAGAAGTTTTATGGCAGAAGGAATAAAAGAACAAAACATACATGCAGAAACCCCCCAGCGTGATGCCAGTGCAAAGGCTCAATGTAAGAGTGACCCAGTGTTCATTATTCAGTACACTGTGAAGTCTGTTGTGTCTCTGAAATGCTTTCTCTTTCACATTCTTTGTTCCTCTTCTTCCTTGAAAACAAACAAATTGAAATGTTTTGGTGCATTTTCAGCACCAGGGGGAGTGCAGCGCTCTGATCTGAGTCTGTGCCACCTCCTCCTCTTAAACTGGAGACGTCTGAGGAGCCTCATTTACACACACATCCTCCACACTTCAGAAATGGGATATTTCACCATCTCAAGACTAACGGCATTTTTATACAGTTGAGCTCATCAACACAATCTTATGCAGTTTTAAAGGTTGTATGGAGGATTTTTTTTTGTTTCAAGTTGTCAATGATAGCATTATAGAGATGCAGTAGCCTTGTAATTATGATGACCAAAAAAAAGAGAATAAAAATTCATCAACTCTGGACGTGGTGGGGCTAAACATTTGCCAATAGATAACGACACTGCCTCGTTATCTGTTAGCTGACAGGCTGTCAATCAATCTCCCTACGTTTCTAGCGTAACTGACTTGCCTGCGCGCCGCCGGTACGTGGTTTACGTACGCCTGTCACGCAGTCCACAGACGCAAGCCGCACAACGCAAGCCGCACAGACGCTGTTTACTCCACCAACGCAACAGTTCTTAGCGGCTTTTTTTGACCTATATCTTCCTCGCAGTTCGCACAAAGTTTGTTGCAATGGCGACAAGAATCCAGGAGCAGTTCGCCGCAAA